CTGTTCGTACAGCACCCACTGATTCCATAGTGTTTTCAGAGCACAGATGATGCTCCCGATCCGGGCTGTGACTCAGAAATGTTTTAAGGTAAGCAAGGCTTACAGAAGTATCCCCAGTCTATTGCCAGCCATGAACCAACCAGTTTTTAAACACTGTGTATGTGCCTCTGTCCTTCCCTCACCACAATCAGCTCTAAACCTCTGACTTCCCATTCTTTCTAATGGGACCTGATGTGTCCTAGGGCCCAGATCTATGCACAACAGTGACTTTACACACATGAATGGTCCCTGGAGTTCAACCATGTGCAAAAAGCTATTTGTGTGCCCAAGTCCTTGTGGGATCCGGGCCTCAGTCTAACCTGCTTCATTTAGCTGTCAACGCCGCAGTCTCCGGTTTGCGTAGCAATTATTTCTTTGTCGTCTGATGCGGAGGTGAGGTGCTCTTTGATACTGTTCTTTCAGCTTTCCCCTCCTCTGCGCGCTGCAGTGCCCCAGAGGGAGACGTGGATCTCTTAATCAGATATCACATTGACGTTAGCTGTCACTACGCACGATACCTTGATGCGTTCAATCTCGCAAGCGTTTGTGAGTGCTCTTTGAGGGATAGCTACTGGGTAGGTACAGTGCCTGGGGGATGCTTGAAAGACGGCTGCTACAATAAGAAACGCAGATTAAAAATAGTTTTTATCCCCGCTCCGTGATGGTCCTAGCACAAACAATCAGGCGCTCGCTTAGCGTGGGAGGGATCTCCCTCAGCCGAGAGAGATAGAGCTAGAAATCATCTGACAGAGAGGTGAGGGAGGTCACACATTACCCTCTGCCTGGGGATCCTCCCGTGTTTAATGTTGGCTGTGCTGCAAAATCAGATTACCCCAGGAAAAACAGTTTTCAATATCCTTTTCTTCCCTGGGTAATGTATCAGTCAACCTTTCACATTTCACTCTCCAGGATTTGTGTGGTTGTGCTGTGTTTGGGGTTTTTACCATCAAGAGGGGAACATTAAAGTCTAAGCTGAAGAATAAACTCTCAGAATTAGAAACGGTGCAGTGAAGCTCTGGACATAAGGTCTGTCCTGACTTGGGGCTCCTTCTAGGGGCTCCCTTTAGCCTGGTGACGCTACGCTCTTGCATATGCAACAAGCAACTGAGGGTAGGAACCCAGCATCGGATGCAACCCATCACTTCCCAGGACCATCCTTCTCCCCTGATTTTCAGAGGGGATGTTGTGCTATTTTGTAGTTCTGCAGGAGGCAACGGGCTCTCTGCTAATTCTGCAGGATTATCGCTCTAGCATCTTGTCTCAAACCATGCCAGGGGATCTAAGGAAGGATGCTGCACCGGGTTCCTCACCCCAGCCAGGCAGCGGGGTTAGCTTCACGAAGAAAATGGTACCGATGCAGCTTCAGCAGAACAGAGCTCACCAAGCCGTTTGTTTCTCTGCAGAGCTTTGCTATCGTAATGACATGGCTGGCGCGAGTACTTGGTTTTAATTTTATGACCCTTGTAGCCCTAGAGCAGGACCAAAATTATGCAGCAGAGAAGAGGAGAATGTTATTTTAGGCCTGGCTATTGCAGCTGGAGCTGTGCAATCAGAGCGCATTAGCTTCAGCATGACT